CCACTGGTGGAACCTCTTCTAACCGGTTCGGTAGATTTGATGAACCGGTTCTACCGAATAGGTGCGAACTGGTAGGAACCCACCTCTGTGTCAAAGGCTCAAAATCTTAGTCACTGCTAAACTTTGGGGAGTGGGGAATGGAACACCCTGCCTCCCCCTTTTGAGTCACACTGTCATATAAAGGTTATTGGGGAAAATTCCACCCAAAGGTTAGAAAAAATGAAATCTCGCCCAGATCACTCACGCTGCTGTTCAGTCTTTTCAATAACTTCTTCTGTTGGGCTGTCCCAGCTTGTTCTGGCCACAATGGCTGTCTTCTTCTCCTGGTGGTTTGAGGGCTTCCTCTGGACCTGCAAGGGATTGCTTTCCTCCTCGCAATCCACAGAGTGTCCCCTCCTCTTCGTCACCTCTCCTGAGTGACTTTTGGCCCCCTAGGGGGCCTCCTGACAGGTGGAATTTGGCTGTCTTAGTGGAGCCCCACTAAATCATTACTGTACTGCAATGATATCCACCCCAAAACAAACTTTTATTACAGTGTAGTTTTCGCTCTTGAATTTTGACTAACCTCTCTGTGGTTTCTTCTCTTGACAGGCAGTCCTTTTCAATTGAGGGGGGCACCTGTCAACCCTGAAGCTGACCTGACTGAGGCCATTTTGAGGCTTCAGTGCTGCTACAACTGGAGCTGAGGGATAGGGGTAGGGGAGTAGGGATAGCTGGGGTAGTGTAGCCAAAACAAAATACTATCTCTTGGGAACCAAGGACATTCTAGCAACTGACTATATCCAGATTGAACCATGTGACTTTTTTGATAAACTTTTACTTTTAATAAGGTGAAAACCATGGGAATGCTTAGCATCAGTTTTCAATATCCTGTGCCAATATGACATGTCCAATAAAACTATCCTTTGAGGATTCTACTTGCCTCAGAGTTTTGTTCGTTCTGGGTATGTTACTTGGAACCCTGACAGTTTATCTGACATGATCTGTTTATGATCAACCCATGTAGGCTACTGATTATAACTTTGTTTGCCTCTCCCTGCAAGAGGATGTCCACAGCATAACCTGGAAAAGGAACGAGGGGCCAGAAACAGGGCTCCCACACCCCTTTTCCGCCTTCTCTCTAGGCACAAAAGGAAAGTTCTGTGTTTAACCCCTTCGCTGAAGTCCCTGCAGGAAGGACTGCAATTGGGGGCTGCCAGGCAATGCCACATCCTCCAGCCGGGGCCCCCAGAAAGGCTCACACTTATTGCCCTCAAGAAGTCAAGGGATGAAAAGCAAGCACCTGGATTTTTTAAATATAGAGACTGAAAATAACTGTGCTAGTAAAAGAAACTTGCATGCGCTAATCCACAGCAACAATAGGTGAAAATTAGGAATGCATTGATGTTGAAGAGGGACAAGGCAGACTTGCAGATTCATTGGACTACAAGGCCACCCATTCAATTCTTGGGTGGAGATCAGCGGTGGGTTCCTGCCAGTTGCAACCTCTTCTATAGAAGAGGTTCCACAAATCTACAGTGCCATTTAGAACCGGTTCCAGCTCCCTCCCCCCGCCCCTCCGCACATCATCAAGATGAAGAGCGAGAGGAGGAATTCTGGGAGTTGAAGTCCACAAGTCTTAAAGCTGTCAAGTTTGAACACCCCTGGGTTTTTTTCTAAAGGGTTAGAGATGCAAGGGTCTTGTAACTTGACAGCTTTAAGACTTGTGTGCTTCAAATGCCAGAGTTTCTGAGTCAACATTTTGATTGCTAAGCAAGTGTGTTGTTAAGTGAGTTTCACCACATTTTACAAGTTGGCCATGCCCACCCAGTCACATGGCTGGCAAGCCACTCCCACTCAGTCACATGGCTGGCAAGCCACTCCCACCTAGTCACATGGCCGACAAGCCATTCTTACAAAGCAGGCCACACCTACAGAAGAGTTTCTTAAAAAATTTGAAACCCACTATTGGTGGAGATGCTGCCATTTCCTCAATATCTAACCTTATACAGAATGTCAGGAGTCTGGTAGAGCCTTTTCTAACACATTGTATCAAAAGGTGCAGCTCCTGCAAGCCTTTTCACAAAATTTCTTAGCCTGCAAAGGAGCAATTCGATGCTTTCTGATTTTTGGCCACCAGACACATAGGGTCCCTTCACAATCCTACAGAGATAACCTTGTTCAGAATAGAAGGATCCATTCCTAGCTTTCTTCTGTTTTAAGGGTTTTCATTTTTCAACATGTGGGGCTCAAAAAACAAACCAATTCCCCCTTTTTACTGGTAGAATTATGCATCACTAAAGATATCTGTAAGTCCTAGAGAGAGATAATATGTATACCCATATATGTGGGTAGCGTTGGAAGAAAAATCTGGTCCAGTTCCGTGCCGGGAGAAGGATGCTGGAAATAAAACAGGCTGATTGAAAAGAATTCTGTTTATTGATGAGCAGAACCAACAACAGCCTATAGTTCTGGGAAAGCTGAAAAAATTGCTGAATGTGTTCATGTGACTTTGAAGTATGAACTCTTCTCAGGATTGTGCAATGAAGGGCGTTTGTGTCTTTTGCTTTTTCAATAGTGGTGGGTTAATCCTATTACGTCCCAAAAGGTCCTGTCTTGTCCTTAGAATTTTTTTTGGAGGGGGGGTGTAATGCAGTTTAATCCCATCAATTGGAGTTGGAGGTGTTTTCTTTGTGAATAGACTGGCCTGGATTTCTTAATGGGCACAAAATATTCATCTCTAAAGACTTCAGGCATCTGCTGGAAGCTTTTGAGGCTGCTTTCTGCCTTTGTTAAGATTCTTTTCCCATTTATCCTCACATTCTGCCTCTTTCTAATATCCCCCAAAATATTTCATTGTTAGGAGAGGGTGTTTGTGATTATTTCTTACAGTACGCTCTGTCAAGAGTGTTTGCAGTATGGCTATTATTTTGAGGCAACCCAGGAGCAAAATACAGTACACAGAGGTTTTGTCTTTCAAACAGTGGTTTATATACAAGACTTCTACATACATACATACACGTGTTAAGCAAATACTAGGCAAGCAATCTTCAATTCTACATGGAGAACTATAATGGAGATAGAAACACGAGGATACATGAGATACACCCTCACATGGCCTCCCCAACAAAGAGAAAGTGACTCCCAAAGTGGCAGAAACCCTGAATGCTTTTAATATATTCATGATGCTTCCCCACTCACATTA